GATATAATCTGGTATTGTGTTTGGAATGACAATTTAAAAAAACTATGTATTTTCTCTTATCTGGATAACAGAAAGTTCTAGACTCACAGAAAGCAAGGGACAGTACAAGAAGCTGCCATATCAGTTGCCAGGTCTGCTAACCCTCTTTTCCATCTTATTCTGTGTACCAGCAGGACTCAGACAAGGGGTGACAGCTAATAGAGGAAATGAGAAAATCAGCCTGACAGGACAGACATGTGACAGAAACGATTAAAGATGCCACTATCCTATTCTGCTCTTAAGTCTGAGAGATTCTTTTGGGATTAAGTGAACAACTCTTTTACCTGAGGCTGTCCTCCTACCTATGCTCTGGTGTCATGTAAGAGAATGCCCTAACTGTAGAAACTTGCCTAATTCTTATTAGTAATTTAGCTGCTAGGAAGCCAAGCTTTTCCTTTTCGTTACCAAGTCTTGGAGTTACTAAATCTGTGTACCTGAGAAAACTCAGTCAGATATTCATACAAAGGAACCTTTGGTGAAAAGATAGCCCAAATATTTATCTATTTGCAACTCCTGTTGTTGGGAAATGCCCATTTCTAATGATGCAGAATTGCTTAACAACTCAAAAACATCAGCATCTTAGAGGAGTGTGGTGGGAACGAAACCCCTGAAAATCACAGTGGTGTCTGCTCCTGGAGCACCCAGAATTCTTATCCTCCCTGCCAAGCAAAACCTGACACCTAGTAGGTATTCAATAAACATCTGCTCAATTACTGTTAATTGTTCATGGTCAAGGCAGCAATAATCTGATTATAAGACTATTGATGCTTCTTCATTGCTGAGTGCCACAGGGTCATGTTATAGGTGGGGAAGTCATGTCTAATAAAAGGAAGGCATATATGGTCAGGATTCCTTTTTCTGGTTTTTGTTTTGTTTGGAAGCAGGTAGCCCAAGCCGGTCTCAAACTCATTATGTAAGACAGCTGGCCTTGAATTACTGATACTTCTGCCTCCGCCTTGCAAGTGCTGGAGGTACAGGTATATGCAATCACACCTGTCTGTAGTAGCCATTTTGAAAAACTAGTTTAAAATGCTCATGCAGTAGGCACAATCGCTTACTTCAAAGATACCCTCATGGCTAATCCCTAGACACTGAGAGTACGTTAGACAGCAAGGGTTGCAGCAGAAGGAAGTCTGCTTGTGAAGTCAGCCAGTTAGTTAGGCATGGACAAGAACACTAAGGAAAACTAAACATGAGTAGTGGTGCTTCTGGCTTCCGGTTCCATGTTGCCCCTTTCTAAACTACTCAAGTCAGCATTCCACAAAGGGAATGAACAAATGAGAGAGAAAAACTCAGAATAAATTAAGTTTAGCCCATGTTGAAAGTAGAGGGAGGGGGTCGGTGAGACGGCTCAGCAGATAAGAGGACTTGATGCCCTTGCACAAGACCTGGGCTTTGTCCCCGGAACCCACAACTCACAGACATCCCTAAGTTCAGAGGCTTTAATACCTTCTTCTGACCTCTGAGGGGCACTAGGAATGCACGTGATACACCTACAGACAAACATTCCCGAAAGACACTCAGACACATAAAGATAAATACATCTAAGAGTTCTGAAAGAAAATATAAAGTTTTTTCAGAAAGTATCAGAGAGAAAGATAAATACCTCAAATTTTCCCTTAAAGAGGAAAAAATGTATTTTCTGTGATAATCATCTTATGATCACTTATCTTTCTCAAATGGACATTTCCTGTTATACGAAGAAGAATATTCTTTCACAATTAGCTAGAACTTTGATCTTCTCAATAAGGTAGAATTTATCCCAGCATTGCAAGGGGAGATCTGATCCACTAACGCCTTCAGGACTTAGTTAGAGGAGTTAATTTCATGTTCTGTGGTGTGGACCCTGTGAGGCTGCTCCTAAGACTTGAATGGCAGTTAGCTGGCTTTTTATTGAAAGTCCCTGGAGAAGCTTTTCTGACTGTCTTCCTCTGAAACATGGGTCAATCTCAAGATTCCAAACGGTTTAAGAACATTGTTTTCAAATCATTCAACAATCCTCTTTTGAGTATCCTGTTACGGTTGGTGTGGAGCTGTCCAGACTTCTGTAGTATTTGGAGGGCTGAGGAAGGGAAGGTGAGGCAGGCATGCTACCTTGAGATGCCAGCCTTTAGTCAGAGAGGCAAGTGTATCCATTTTGAAACCCTAACACATAACAGTGATTTTACTTACAGTAGCATGAGGGATTTTTGCAAACCTTTCTTTCCTCTCTTCCTTTATTTTTTAGCTTAATTGGGAACTTCTCAAGCCTGAGCTTTTCAGATGACAACTGTTCTGCAATGTCTGCCCTGTTAGCTTCTTGTTTGTGTCTCATGATTCTGTGTGCACAGTCACTTGGACTCGAGGCCTTGTAAGAAGGCTCCTGACCCAGGCATGAAGTCACCCTTCCATGCCAATCAGCGTACTTCTTCATGTAGACCTTGAAAAATGAGCTAGACATGAAAGGCAGGTTTGCATTTGCTCATATTTTAATTAAATAGACAGCATCACTGTGAAAGCTAATTCAGGTGAACCACCTGTCACTGATATTTTTCACTGAAAATATTTTTTAGTCTCTTGGTTCTGTAGGAGCATTAACAGACCTTCTAATCTCTCAGCCTTGGCTGGCTATTAGAGACAACCATGATATTCATATAACACATGAAATTTTTCTCATACTAATATGGTCAGGAAAAAATTTTGTTGGAAATGGCTTAAGTAGTCAAGTTTTCAAACCAATCAGAACACAGCTTTACATCCAGAAGGTGATTTGAAAGAGCAGAGCGGATCAATCCTGTAACTTGAAAAAAAATGGAATTCTTGACTTTTTAAAAATATATTATCTATTTCATTCAAAACTCACTTGTTCTCTGAATTTGTCACTTTAGTAAATGTCTGTGATACTCCTGGATTCATGGGTGTGAGCCATGTGTTTCTAACGTGAACAAATGCCTACTCGTGCTTGTAGATACGTCTGCAGTTCAGTTCCACTTGGTCACCTCTGACCAGCTCATTCTACAGCTCTAATTCCTGAAAGCAACCAACGCAGTTCTGAGCCTTGTTGCGTTCCTCCTCGGGCTGTATTTCTGACTATTTGATTAGAGACTACAGGGAAGTGCTTAAGGCTTTCTACAGTGACCACAGCCATTGGTGAAGCAGATATGTAGCACTTAACCCGTCCCACAGGGTTAGAGAGGAGTATACTGGGGAGGAGAATTAATCATGGTGAAATTTCTACCACTGGGCCTCCTCATGCAATGTCAATGTGGTTGAAATGTGCAATGTACATTCAGTTCTTGGTTATACATCTCAGCTTCTGATATTCCCTAAGACAGCCAAATGGTACTTATCTCCAGTGATGAGAACAGTAAAACACCAGCATCGACTCTGTATTAAAATAATTATTACAAAATTATCCACACAAAGCAGAGGCTCATTCATAAATCATAGTCATTAGCATCTGACTCTAATGATTAAAGTTAAAATCAGGCACATGGCAATGTGCAAAAAGGTTAATGCTTGGATAAATGATTCAGTAGGTCCCAGACATTTCCAGCCAGTGTATAATTAATGCACCTCTCAGAGTCTGACTATTTCTACTTTGGATGCTATGTAGCCAAACAAATTTATCTTGGAGCCATGAAACAAATCAAACAAGTTTATTGAAATAAACTTTTATGCCTAAAACTTTATGTTCTCTGACTGATGTGGCACAAAAGTTGCACCCAGTACTGTTCGGTGCTGGTGACAAATGCTGTGTAGTAGGACTCAACATGACGATCAACCGTTACTGACCATGGTCTGCAAAGATTTGGCATTGTAGGGTTTCCCCTATTTAACACATCAGGAGTTAATTTCTCACTGTATTTTGCCAAACCAGATGTGAAATTACAGGCATAAGTAGAGGATAAGAGGTTGTAGAATTCAGTGTCTGACAAAGGATGCCACCACTGCTGTGGGTGACTCACCAGACTGCAAAGAAAAAAATTCACTCATTTCCTAGAACATGGTATTTATGTTTCTGATCTAGATAATCTCAGACGCTTTGATTCCAAGATAGACATTCCTAGACTACTTTGTGGGACAAAGCAGATGCTAGGGCCATATTGAATGTCCACAAGCTGAATTAGCAGAAAATGAAGATAAAGTGTCTTTCTATTTCAGAACATGATGATAATTTAATTGCTTTAGCATTTGGCATGTCTAAAGTATACAGTCTTTGACATTCATATAATAACAAAAGAGTTGTTTGAGATTTTTCTTTTCTTTCTTAGCATTCCCTTTTCTTTCTAGTGTTTCCCCCACCCTGATTCTGGTCCTGACCTTTCGATCTCCTCCCAGCTCATCATCCTTCTACTTTCTGCAGAGTTAGGGATGCATGTAAGAATACCTCCTCTTTGCGTAGATGGGCCAAAGCCGCTGTTACCTAGCTATGATGTACAGACCACCATCGTTGTGACAACTGATGTCGGTGCCTCCGGGTGAAACAAAGGTTTATACATTACACAAGCAATTTAACTGCTTTCTAAACATATTGCCAAGACAGTGGGAGCTGGCAGCACACACTAGGTTTTAGGTTTTTTGGTGAGCTAGATTAGAAGTAACTGTTGATTGTGAACCGTTTTTATTTGTCCCCATGCACTACAAGCAACCTCGTAACCCAGAAAAGAATTTCTCACAGCGCTTAAACTGCTCTCCCCAATTCCCAAGATTACATGCACAAATCACTTGATTAAAGTAGCATAAGGGTCTCATGAATAGATAACTGCACAGGACAATTGTCCTGTTCTAACCTTTAAAGAACACCACATAGAGAAGTGTTTTATAATCCTTTTTTGTGCGGTAGGCAAAGGAGAAAAGAAAAGAGGTTGGGCAAAGATTACTCAGAAGAAAGAAAGAGACCCTTTTCCGGGGTTCTAGTTGAAACACAATAAAGAACATAATTAACTTCACGATTCTTTGTGTTTTCCATCTGACTGCAGGGAGGAGACGAAAGGGGACTGCTAAGCCTGGCATTCCATCCCAATTACAAGACAAATGGAAAGCTGTATGTGTCTTATACCACCAACCAGGAACGGTGGGCTATCGGGCCTCACGACCACATTCTTAGGGTTGTGGAATACACAGTATCCAGGTATCACTAACTAAAGTGCATGGAAGATCAAAGTTTGTGTGTTCCTTTCTCTTCTTCATCTCTTTGCAGACCATTTATAAACTATTGCCATAAATTAGTAGTAATTAGAGCAGAATCATTCCATGACTTAAAACATAGTGTATACCTCTCTCTCTCTCTCTCTCTCTCTCTCTCTCTCTCTCTCTCTCTCTCTGTCCCTCTCTCCCTATCTCTTTCTCTCTCTCCTTCTCCTTTCCCCTCTCCCTCTCCCCCCTCCCGCCCCGTGTGTGTAAAGGAAATCTAATAAAATAGTGTCTTTGGTATTTTTTCTCAATTATCTCAACTTCAATCATGTTCCTAAAACACAGAGATTAATGGGATGTCATTCTAATTGGCTCTATTTCAAGTGTGGTTGTGCGTCTGTACACCTCTTCCTTTCCAGTGGATTCACATTATATCTGCAATATCATGGCGTTCTCTCCCTTCCATCATGCAGGAAAAATCCCCATCAAGTCGATGTGAGAACAGCCAGGGTGTTTCTGGAAGTTGCTGAACTCCACCGGAAGCATCTTGGAGGACAGTTGCTCTTTGGTCCCGATGGCTTTTTGTATGTCATCCTTGGGGACGGTATGATCACCCTGGATGACATGGAGGAGATGGACGGGTTAAGGTAACAGACTGCTTACCAACAAGTACCTTTTGACACTAACGTGATCTTAATGCTAGGACACAGGGTCTGAACTAATAACTGAGGATTATGTCTGGTGATTGAACATGAGGTTATTTTATGCTGAATTTTGTCCTAAAAGAATTATTGCTACAAATGCTGCCTTGTCACACAAGCACTGTGTCTCTCTTCCTCTGGGCCCAGTTGTTCCCCCACACCCATCCATCCATGCTGCTGCCCCACACTCTGCTAATGAACTGATGTCTTGGGGAACATAAAATACTTAGACTGGCAAAGATGAAAGAGGACAGATTACACACATGCACACACACACTCACACACACACATGCACACGCACACACATGCACACGCACACACACGCACATACACACACATGCACGCGTGCACACATACACGCGTGCACACACACGCGCACACACACGCGCACACACACACATACACACACACGCACACACAGCAAGCAGCACACTATCCCACATCCTAGGCCACCCCACATCTAGCATCCAATCTTTTCCTGGTCTCACTTCTTGCCACACGGAATTTGGAAATCAAGAACTTTTGAGTCAAACTGAAGGGATGGTTTTTCTTGTTAGAGCAGGCTTGCCTGTGTGTGCAGGTGAGACAAACAACCCGCGTGTATTCACTCCCCTCCAATGTCTCAGTGACTTCACAGGCTCTGTGCTGAGGCTGGACGTGGACACTGACATGTGCAATGTGCCTTATTCCATACCACGGAGTAACCCCCACTTCAACAGCACCAACCAGCCCCCAGAAGTGTTTGCCCACGGCCTCCATGATCCAGGCAGGTGAGGACATCTGCCTATCTCATCCTTGCTTTCAAAACAAGACAGAATTTAAGATCTAGGAAGAAAAGTAAGATATTCAGCCACCAAGTAGCAAGGGATAGTATCCCTTTGTACCTCTAAAATCATACCAGCCATTAACTAAACAACTACTTAGCCCACTTTCTGTCATTCATGTGTGGAGAAGATTACTGAAGACTAGACAAGGGGAAACTCAAGTTCATAGAGAAAACTGCCGAGACTACTATTAGATAACCTTTAGCTTTCTTTCTTTAAATCCCCCTAAATTTTGTTTTCCTTGCTGATTTGGTCTGCTTTAAGCTGTTTCAACAGGATACCACATATGAGTGATTTATAAACAATATATGGGTTTTGGCTCCCAGTTCTGGATGCCGAGCAGTCGGAGGCCATGATGCTGACACCTGCTCGGCATCTGTTGACAGCTCTCTCTCTTCCTCATCTCATGGTGGAAGGTGAGAGCAAAGGAGCATGAAGAAGACAGAAGTTGCCAAACTCATCCTCCTATGTGGAGCTCACTCTACAGCAACCAACTGCTCTTACAGTAAGAGTCTGAATCTTGTCTGCACAACAGACTGCCATGGGGATGAGGGTCCCAGTATGTGAGAGCAGAGGGCTCCATTCAAACAATACCACATATTCTAAATGGGAGCCGTGAGAAGTGTATGCTAAGGACTCTGTTGGGATTATATAAGAGTCCATAGAAAGAGGACAAAGAATGGCACTTCACACCTCACGCCTGGCACTTCACACCTCACACCTGGCACTTCACACCTCACACCTGGGCAGTCCTTACTGTCATCGCTACCCTTAGTACAAGATGGTATAGTAGTGCTCATTTCAAGAAGTTGAGGTAAATGTTAATGTCTTTCACGCCTCAGAAACTTACAAATTCTAAAGGAATTCATGTCTATTGTTTTCTGCTTATACTATAATGAACCATAAAGAACAGAAAACTAAGACGTCTGTAGAGTGAAGGATTTCAGGCACACTTTAAACATTCTATGAACTTTAACAGAAATTCTCTGATGAAAACCACGTCCAGTCTGGTCTATCATTCAGACTGAAGGGTATGTGGCCACATTCATTCATTTATTAGCTAAGTTATTATTGCTATTTAATGTTTATTGAGTGTTCACTATGTGCAAGGTGAATATTTCTCAAACTTTTTATTTTTATAATCCCTCGTGCCCTTCATCTTCGCCCCATCAAAGCCCAAGTCCACAGTTCATTTCCTTTTTGGCATCTCCACAGATCTTAAAATCTGTTCAGCAGGGAATACTTAAGGTGGGATCAGGATGTGGGGGAAACTGTCACATTCCATTTCTATAGCTCAGAACGCACAGACACCACAAAGCAGCACTTTGAAGTGAAGCCGCCTGAGTCACCACCTTCCCACCGGAGGGTTCTTGCAACCTTCCTGGGGGTCCAAGCCTCAGTCCAAAAACACAGGATGAGGCCCTTTCCAGAACCTACTTGTGGCAAGATGCCTGTGCCACAGAGCCCTGCCTCCTCTGGCAATCAAGGGCTAAAGAAAAATTCTACTTGCATTCTGCTTCCTTCCCAGAGAATCTCAGGCAGACAGAGACTTACTGAAGAGAAAGGAAACTAAAACCATTATTAGCTAGAAATAAAGCTGACTGTCATTAAACACCTTGTCTTATGGTGCTAAACTAGGTACTACTATTCTTGGTAGTACTGTGTGATAGCTGCCTGTACAGCACCTTTAATTTTTTTTTAATCTGTGTGCATAATGTGTATGCATACCCATACTTACACATGTAGAGTGTACAGTAAAGGAGGAGGTCACATGTCCCCTCTCTATCATCCAGCTTTCTCTTTTCCTTCATTTTTTAAAGACAGATGTCTCACTGAACCTGAAGCCAGATATTTCAGTGAGGGTGGCTAGTCAGAAAGCTCTGTCCTACCTATTACCGCCCTCAACAGACATCAGTACTGGGTTACAGGCTTGTGTCGTGTCTGACTTTCATGAGGATGATGGGGAATCAGATTCAGGTCCTCCTGATTGTACAAGAAGTAGTCTTCTTATGGGTCCATCTCCCAGGCACCATCTTCTTTTTTTAGTTTCAAGACTAATTAATAAGTTCACAGTGAATGTGACCATAAGTTACAAAGATTAGTGGTGCAAGCCCTATGTGCACATTATAGTCCTCCCATACCCCAGCTTACCACCATCCCCAGCAGGATTTTTTCAGTGAGAAACTAAGGAGACAGCGTTGGCACATCATTTGTCTCCAAGAGTCCCTGATTGACATCAGCACCCACGCTTGGTGGTGTGCATTCCGTGTTGCTTTTAGACAAGTGGACTGCTGCAGGTATCCGTTACCATAGCCTCGGCTGGTCAGTTTCACTATCTGGCTCCCTTTGCACATAAGAAGCTGAGAGTCTGAGGATGGCATGACACTTGCAGCCCCCAGTCAGCTCATGCGGGAAAAGACAATCTCTTCTTCAACATGAGCTGCTTCTTGTTGATAATAAAATCTCTTTTTGTCATTGATTCTCTATCTAAAAAAAAAAAAAGTAGCATAAGAAATCCTCTAACCCTGTGGGGACTAAAGTTTCTCATTAAGTCACAATATGCCATGCCTGTGTCTCCAGCCCTGACAGATATTGTATTGAAGGAGTCACTGTCAGAGAGGACAGTGAAGGCCCTGTCACTGTAGAACTGCCCCATCTCCTGCTTCTTCGTCATGACTGGACTCTTTAGACCACTCCGTTGTTGTTTTGTTTTGTCATAATAATTGCTGAGTGGCTCTTTGTCTCTGAGGTCCCTACTCTCAGTTTTTTAATGTTTTTAATTTATTTTATAGCTCAGTACTTTGGTTTATAAGTAGTTAATGTATTTTGTTGGCCCAAAAAGCAATGCTCAATGGAATGTCTTTTGCCTCCAGGGAACATTTGACAATGTGTAGAAACATTTTTGGATTTCAGAACTGGGATGAGGGGCTAAGAGCAGGGTAACACTGCTGTCATCTGATGGATCAAGACCCAGGAGATTGCCAAAACCCCAGTAATTCTCAGAATGGTACCCCTCAGCCCTACAACAGAGACTACGTGCTTCCCAAATAGCAAGAACACTGTTTTTTGCTTGAATTTTGTTTGGTTGAAGGGTTGTGTTGTTGTTACATTTTTGAAGAGTTCAGACATTTCACTAGGTTTCATTCTTCCTCCAATTCTTGCCTCTTCTTCACTTAAACATGCAGGGAATATTGTGGCCTCTTAGGCCTAGCCTAGGTAACAGGAATACAGGGATCCTTGACCCTTGTGGAGTTCAGTCGGTGGTTAGAACTGCAGGGATCCTGATCTCCACATTAAGTATGGAGGACGTGAGGACAGGGCAGAGGTGACAGACCTCCATGCTACACACGGCAGCTGTGCCTTTGTTCCTAGACTGGAACAAGTGGGAACCCTCAGAACTAAGCTATAATCATTCAGCAACTGGCAAGATGTCTCGGTAAGGACAGGCACTTGTCATGGAACCTGAACATCTTAGTTCAATCCCAAGAACAGAGAGAAAGAAGAAAACTGACTTACACAGATTGTCCTATGACCTCCATACAGTATGCTGTAGTACACACACAGGCGCGCGCGCGCGCGCGCACACACACACACACACACACACTAAATAGATGTCACTTTTTTAAAGCAAGTCTTCTATGTAAGAAACACAACACTAGTTTTAACACTAACGAATTACATACCCTATGTGGCACAGATGAGTTGATGGTAGCATTGATTCATATTTCCAAACTCTGCCAATGAGGCAATCCTTACCAATAGGCTAACAAAGGTTCTTAAGATAGTGAGAACATTCATTAGAAGACAGATAGCCAGAAGAATTAAGAAACACACTCCCGAGGTCATTAGCTTCAATAGAGTAAACAAACTCATCAGGATGTTTCCTTCAGTGGTTTCAAGAATATCCAAACTAAATTGCTCATAGGATTCTCGCCAGCCCACAAAGCTTTCCTTTCCTTGTCAGGAAGAGACCCTGGGAGAAATTAATGAGTATCTGCCTCTTTATTATGCAGATGTGCTGTGGATCGACATCCCACTGATATAAACATCAATTTAACAATACTTTGCTCAGATTCCAATGGGAAAAATAGATCATCAGCAAGAATCCTACAGATAATAAAAGGAAGAGATTATGGTGAGTGAAGCATACCTGGCTGCCTTTCCTTTAGTAAAGACTGGTTTTAGTATATTAATTAGAGAAAAAAGAGTTTGCATAATGAGCATTGAGAAAACACAAAAACATTGGCCTGGCAAAGGCCAGTGAGTAAATCTCTCCATTTTTAAAGGTTCAAGGACTCCCCTACACCCCGAGGGGTTCTCTGCCTAATTACCTTTCCCATGGATTGAATGGTTCTCTGTAGGTTCAAATAGTTTAATGGTCTCAAAAGTCAGCGGCTGTATTTTGCTCTTCTAAGACCCAAGGTGAGGAATTTCTCCTTATTCACTATGATATAGGAGAACTTGTCTTGACATTTATATACAGAGAAATAAGCCTTAAAGGTAAGAAATTGCTGAACATTCAACATGCAAGTCTCAGCAATTAGGAAAATAATGTTTCTAATAAAAATAATTTTAAAATGGATTTCTTTTAGAGAAAACAACTTAATTGACTTGTAAAAACAAGTCATGGGAATAAAATGTTTAAACATTATTTTTAATAACATGATTACTGGAGTATTTACAGAGAACTTAAAAACAAAATGTTGGATAATGAAGTCCAAACCACTCAGTATTTTTCAAAGCTGTAGCACACTCTCCCTTTTGAAGGTCACAATATATTAAGCACTATTATGACTTAGAGGGCAGAGTAGATTGAGATGATTAAATTGATTACTCCCTCTATTGACTCATTCAACAGGGCTATTTCTCCTAGCACCAGGCATGAGGCCACTGTGCTAGTTCATGTGGTATTTGGTTGTTTTACTTTGCTTTTTTCTGACTATCTTTCTGTCTCTCTGTCTCTGTCTCTGTCTCTGTCTCTCTGTCTCTCTCTCTTTCTCCTCCCCCCACCCCCTGTGTGATTGTGTGTGTGTGTGTGTGTTTGTGAACACTTTACAAAAGCCAAACTAAAGAATGACATGGTATGGACAAAAAAAAAAGATCTAACAAGCTACACTAATTCAATGGATTTTCATAATATCTGGAGAATTAATTAAATTTTACTAATCAAATGAACTTCCAGAGAAAACCATCTAGAGTATTAACAGTACTCACATTTATGTATTTTGAAACACATTCAAAGTTCACCCTGCTCCCGCTGTGAAGACATTCAGAGACCCACTGTAGGTGACAGGCACTATTACAGGCCACATTGCACAGAGGGGGACACTGAGGTAAAGAACGACTAGTTATCTGAATAGGAAAGGACGGCTATGAATTGGAGTAGCCTGACTCTGGTATTCACATTCAATTACATCTTCCGTCCTGGAGTTGGTATTTAAAATTTGTATTCTCCAAGCTTTATCCTAATCATATGGGAAGAAAGGGGTCTTCAAAATGACTGCTGCTACAAAGGTTCTTACCTAAGGTACTGCCTGTTGATTGTGACTTATTTGACATTAAATGCATGAGAGGTAACTGTCAGGTGAATTTGCCACATGTAGCTTGAAGGACTGTCTGGAGCAGACATTGTTTTCCTTGTGAGTCTATAGGCAGAGCCATTAACATGCCTCACTAAAGAAACAGTGTTCTTAAGAATACAGTAAATGTGGGTTTAAAGACCTTTTATGTGCTATGTTTTTATTTCCATTAAAGTGTGAACCTTTAAAACTTTTGAAACATTTTATATGATTTGACAGATCTGATTTGATTTACTAAATGTAAGCAGAACCATTTTGTAATGGACATTTATTGTTCAAAACTCAATTTTTAAAGTATTTTGGTTCTACAGTAAATAACAATGATTTCAAAATATTTGGATTTGGATTGGGTTGGAATTTTGGTGTGTCCTGACAATTGAAATGGCAAGGTCCTGGTGAGCGTTCTCGGTTCATTAAAGCTTAAGCCTCGATGCCATAGAAAGAGTTTTGTTATTCTCATCAGTGTCTGAACAGGACCTGTGTCTCGCCTTATGAAACACAATATGGAATTAAGTTGTTGTTATAATACGTATTACTTGGCCTGTATCACTTTTACTCCTGGAAATGCTTCATTAGTTCTAATACTTTTTTTTTTTCAGAAAGTGAGCCATCTCTTCTAGAATTTAAGCCATTCAGTAACGGCCCTTTGGTTGGTGGATTTGTTTACAGAGGCTGCCAGTCTGAAAGACTGTATGGGAGCTATGTGTTCGGAGATCGCAATGGGTATGTTTCCTAACACCACAGGTCTTTAGACCAAAAGACAAGTCTATTGCTTGGCACACTACCAAAAGCGATCCAAGTGTCTATCCCCCAGAGTCAGACCTTGAACACACAAATGTTACTACTTCCTGGTGCTTCCCCACATCTGGAAGTTAAGTTGAAGAAAGAGATGCTTCCAAGGAGATTCTTTTCAACAGGGATAATGTTTAAAGGTGACAAAGTCCTCTGAGGGATTTTCCATTTATTTTGACTTTTCCCATTGTTCTCACCCTAATTCCCAAACTTGCTTTAAAGGAATTGTAAAAGCTGTTTTAAAAATATTATTCTGGAAGACTACAAATTTTGGGAATGTCAAACCCTCAGGATCTTGAACAGCACCGTGCAATATGATAAGTAGGTACTACAAAATAAAAATGTAGCCTAAATTTTCAAGGTCTCACGGTGGGAGATGATAAGGAACTGAAGAAACCCATGCTGAGAGGTTCTTTACTGAGCTGCTGACACTCAGGCAAGAGGAGCCCTAATGTGCTTGGCTTCTGTAATAGGCAAAGAACTGAACCGAGCCTGCCTGCACTCTACCCACCCCTTCCCATGCAGTACAGCCTGCAGTTGAGAGCCACCGGGGAAGTATCCTCTCTGGGAGTAGGTGTTGAGGGGCTCTCTCTTTCTTGAATTGTTTTCAATGCCGCCTTTAAACCACATCTTATCTTCAAGTCCCTAATCCTCATCTGGTATTTTCATAGTGTTCCTGTCCACTACAGGGCACAGACCCTGTCCTTTGAGAAGTGGTGTCTTTGGTGTGACAATTCCTCATTGCAATGTCTACTCTAAAACATCTTAGAGTACCCTGTAAAGCAAGGTGTATTCTCATTGTGGGTTTTGTGGTGTGTTTTGTTATAGGAATTTTTTAACCCTCCAGCAAAGCCCAGTGACCAAGCAATGGCAAGAAAAGCCGCTCTGTCTGGGCGCCAGTGGCTCCTGTCGTGGCTACTTCTCGGGTCACATCTTGGGATTTGGAGAAGATGAATTAGGTACCATGTCTAGTGCCCCATTAAGTTCCAGTTTCACCCCTTGCTTGGAATACTTTGTTCTGCCCTATAGAATGACAGTTTCTTCTTCCCTTTGTTGCAAATGTACCCACAGCAAAAGCAACCTCCTAGAGAGTCCTAAGATGGTAAAGTTATACCTTGTTTCCCAGTAACCTTTCTGCAAAGGGTCTTTATATCTTGTTTATGTTTCAGAGATTATATAAAAGTTTAAAAAGCAGAAACAAGGGAAAAATTAAGTTCCAAAGGGAGAGTCTTTTTGCAACTACTGATATTTTCACTATGTTCTATGATAATTCTTTTCTCCTCTATGTATCTATCCCTGTTCTGATAATCCTTTTCTCCTCTCTGTATCTATCCCTGTACTAAGATGATACTTTTATTCTCTGTCTACTCCACTTGCCCACATCTCTTTAATATATTTTCAAAGGGCAGAATCTGAAGCTAACTTATCCCCTCTATTGTTATTTTGCTGATTTGAGAATGAAAATTGTGCAAGATAATCTGAGGTGTAGAGATCCCTGCCAGTCGAACAGAAATGACCTCATTGGCTACCTATGTGACAATATATTTGGCGTGTTTATCAATGTATGGAGCCGATGCTTGTTAAAGGCTTCATTACCATGTCATGCTGCTGTTGGGAGGTTAGTGATAGCTTTAGCAAGTGAGCCTCAGTTGTGGAAAATTGGTGTTCTTTAAAAATAGATTTATTTTGTGTGTATGATGTTTTGTCTGCATGTATGTGTGTACACCAGCGCATGCTGAGTGCCCGAGGAACTGAACCCAGATCCTCTGCAAGAGCAGCAAGTGCCCTCAACCTCAGAGCCATCTCTCTAGCCCCAAACTTGGTGTTCTTAAAGGGAGTATTGGAACCTTGTTTTTCTCCGTATCTTTGCTTCCTGGCTGCTGTGAAGGCGACAGGCCTTCTTTGCCATATACTCCTGCCATAATGACTGTACCGGTGGCAGAGCCAGGCTGACACGCATTGCAATCCTAAAACCATGAGCTAAAATAAAGTGCAGACCCTAATGAGCAAAGGGAGTTGAAATTGGAACGTGATTAGTAATAAAGTGAAATTGTGTGCTGTCTGCTGTTGGAAATTACAGAGTTCGGTGTAGCTTTTGTGGTATTTTTCTTAACTACTCCCTAACAAACCACGAGGACTAGGATCCTTCAGCCTCAGAAATGAATTTTAAGGCACAAAAAGGAAAGAATATGTTTCTTTCCTAAGTCAGAATATTCTGTCTGTAATGAAAGCCCAGGTTGATTTTGTTTATACATTAAAATTGGGAAATCAACAGAAATAGGCCGGTGCCATTCATTTAGATTAATAAAAGACTCGGGCAACTCTCTCAGAAACATGTCCAGGATATATTTGAGACACTGGGATATAATACTTAGGAAAGAGATTTTTCTGCTCTTGCTCTGGAGGGAAAACATTTTATATCTGAGTTTTTTCTTTGATGTCCTTGTACTGTACTCAAATGAATCAAAAAGCTACACTTTTCTAATTCCTAAGCTCTGTTGTATAACTTTAATGTCATTGGCAAGCTTCAGTTTTGAGAAGAACTAGGACCAGGGACGGGCATTGGTGGCAGAGTGCTTGGCTAGAATACGAGGCTCTGGGTTTGCTTTCTGGGCAACACCAGGGAGGGGAAGAAGAGAAAGGTAGAAGATAGAAGAGGAAGGGAAGGAAAGAAAAAAGGGGAGGAGGGTAAGGGAATGGAGAGGAGGAAAAAAGAAGAAGGCACAAAGGGAGAGGTTTATCCAGGCAGCTTCATGAGAAAGCAGGAAGTTCCCAGTTGAGCTAACTTAGATCCTTTCACTCCTGAAAGCATCACTGGGGTTAGAATAAACACATACCAGAAGCAGAGATGAGGATTCCAGGGAAGAAGATGTTTGCTGTGGTCCAGGTGAGAAGCAATATCCTCCTGAATAAGAATAGGCTGGACATGGGGAGGAGGTGGTTTGGGTCCACAGAGGTGGAATTACAAGGTGCTGTCACAGCCTGTAGGCATCAGGTCTTCCTGAGGATGGATGGAGAGCCAGGATAGCTGCTTGGCTGTGATGTCATGCTATGAATTTGCTCTTCATTGTTTCTCTTTCAACAGGAGAGGTTTACATTCTATCAAGCAGTAAGAGTATGACCCAGACTCACAGTGGAAAACTCTACAAGATCATAGACCCAAAAAGGTAAAATTTCTTTTTCCTCTTGAGTCTGCTTGATATCGATTCTCCAGCTGCTTTAGTTTACTCCCAGGTGTTATAGACGAGGCACAGTTTGCAATGGGCTGGAGTGAACATTCTACCCTTCCCAGGACAAGGATACACTTGACCTTGAAAGACTTGAAAAGCTCATTCTGATCATTCTTATCCTTTCTGAGCTGGCTTGGACTTGTGGGACCAACATTCCCAGTTAAAAGTCAGGAAAAGACCCTAGCATGGCAGGCAATGGTTTCAGCTCTTGTGTTAGAAAAGCAACCAAACCTTTAATTTTGAGAAAATGAGGACTGTTCTAGCATATAGAACCTCCTTCATGCGATTTTTGCTAGCTGAGTGAGCTAAGTTATTTTAACAGTGAGCATCTGAACCGAGCCAAATTCCAACACTGTCTGACAGCTCATAGCACTCCTGAAGACTTTTCTAACCAAGCAACTGAAAGCTAGAGGCCTACTGTGTTATTTGGTTCAGCAGAAGGAAGATTGGAAAGGTTTTGTCCTTTAAAGCATGTATTTTGATGGCTTAGTAAATAAAATGTTGTCTTGAAAGCCTGAAGGAAAGAGTTCAGATCCCCAGAACGCACACAAATGTGGAGTGGGCATGGTGGCTGCATACAACCCAGCATCTGGGAGGCAGAGAGGGGATCCCCAGATCAGGATGCCTGGCTAGAGTCAAACTGGTGAGCTCCGGCTCAGCAAATGACCCTGTCCCAGTAAATGAAGCAGAAAAGGATCAAGAAAGATATTCAGTGTTAATACCCGGCCTCCACACACATATATGTACACACATGTGTGCACACACACATACTACATACATGTGAGCATGCATACACAGATTGATACATGCTTACAACATGTGTGTGTACATGTGTGCATACAGGTTTTCAGCTGCAGTTCCCTTCCCATCTACCCATCTCAATGTCGGCACACACAGTTCTGCTGTCATTCTCAATCATTAGTTTTCCAATATGAGAGCTGAACTACCAGAAGCTGCTAAACTACACGCTGTCACATGGATGTTGGTCATACCGGACCTAATCATTTCTATAGACACAACTAGTAAGTGATGAGCTAACTAGGACTCGTTACCCACCAACATCATTTCAAACTTCTTTGAAGTTTCTCTCAAGAGAATCAATTCTAGTGATAGGAAAGTTAGCCAAAGGCATTGACATTGTTCAATTCTTTTTTTAAAAAAATTTTATTCATCTATTTATTTATTATATACACAGTGTTCTACCTGCATGTAAGCCTGCAGGCCAGAAGAGAGCACCAGATCTCATTATAGATGGCTGTGAGCCACCATATGGTTGCTGGGAATTGAACTCAGGACCTTTGGAAGAGCAGCCAGTGCTTTTAACCTCTGAGCCAGCTTTCCAGCCCCCTCAACTCTCTTTTTAACAAATAATTTATTTATCTTTATTTTATGTGCATTGGCATTTTGCTTGCATATATGTTTGTGTGAGGGTGTCATGGAAATTGAACCGAAGTCCTCTGGAAGAGCAACCACTTCCCTTAAACACTGAGCCATCTCTCCAGCCTGACCTTCTTCAATTCTTAAAATCCTATTCGTAAGTTGTCAGTTGTGTGTTTTCTTGAAAAAGCCATGGATTAGTAACTGGACAGACTGCCTTTTCTATACCAAAAAAATTCTCCTGAGAAAAATACACGTTAGCATCGGCCACTGTGCCACAAAGAGGAGACTCAATGAGAAGTGGTCTCTGTCCCTTGCTCACTGAGAACATGCCCTCACTTCACAGTAAGAGACATGCTTGCTGTCATACATGTAGTTGTAGTGAAGGTTTTCCTCTGTAGTGTGAAATCGGTGTCCTCTGAGAAAAGCAAAGAGATGCAAGACTGTGAGACACTCAGGGAGGTGCAGAAACTGGTCCACAGACACAGGCCGGACTAATGTGAGCTCAGAACAGAGCATCTTAATGACCTGCAGAGAGGGCTCGGGGGCTTCACCCAGACCTCGGCAATTAGTTTCAAAATGGTCACTGTTGTGTCATTATGTTGTCAAGACTGATCAGGTTTTGAAGCTTCCCCGTAGTGGGGTAATGAGTCCCCCCACCCCCAAATCTCTCTTGATCTGGGTTGTTTAGTCTGTTGGTGAGCAGAGGTGAGTTTTACACCTTCAATCTATTATCAGGATCTAATTACCAGGGTTGCCATGAGTGACCTTGGCTTTGTGATCTTAAGGCCCCCTCTAGTAGGGTGGTCTCTGAGTGACATACCTGAAGTCCTGGCTACTCATTATGGGGCCTGTTTCTGGTGATTCATGTCATGTGTGAGGCCAGGGTTAAGATCTGTGTTTGCTTTGCAAAGGTGGGGGAAGTAATAGAATCCCAAAGTCCCATCCTCCTACAGAGGCATCAGCATGTTCTAAGTTAAACTGAGTGTAAGAAAGCTAATGGGAGTCTCTTACTCTCTTGATGAGAATGCCAGTGATTATTATTGCAATGTTTTTCCCAGGAGGGGCTGGTGTTCTATATGAGCTGACACCTCTGCACAGGCAGAATTATTTGGGGCACACAAGTTAACCGCTCAAGTTCATGTGGTCAGGCAGAGTAGAAGCATTTTTCTAAAACTGCAGAAAAAATATCATCAAACTTAAAAATTCATGTGCATGTATATATGGGTACTTCTTGTTATTTTAAAAATCTAATTCAAATTGAATAGTTAAGTTCATTGTCTTTTGATTACAGAATCCCCTAGATTTATTAGAATATTTTCAAAATAGCTTTCATATGTCAATTGATCTATGACCCTGGAAGAGAATACTACTAAATTACAATTTGATATATTTCTATATTAGGTATCATAGAAGTTACGTATTTATCATAGTATTTATGTTACATTTTTCCACAAATGCACACACTAAATGAACTTAGAAATAAAATGTAGTAACTCTTAATCAAATCTAGCAAAAACACATGAGGTTACAATACTGCTGCTCCAATCTGTAAGGACAGTTTGGTCTAAAGCTGTAAACTGCAGAATCATTTGAATAAGTTTTAAATTATTTAAGGTGCAAAAGCTCCCTCGGAAGAAGGCCTTTTAGAAGAAGTAAAGGTCATTAAATTTAATTAATCAACTTTTAAGCAAGTGTATAAAATAATGGGGTCTCTTGTATATTTCCTACACACACACATTTGTATGTCTTGCTGTCATTACCCTTCTTTCTTCCCCTCCCCCTCTCCCATTGGTCATCATCCACAATGAAAATTTAAAAATAAAATATGGCCAGGTTTCCCAAGTTATTTAGGGAAAAGCCTTCCCTGGGGAGACAGATCAGGAATGAATCTGTCTTATGCCAAAACACTGAACACACTTCAAGGACATCATCAGAGTTGGGAACGTTGGCTCTCTCAGAATGGAGAATGTCAGTCAATTTTCGGTTCTCAGACTAGTACTAGTACTCGGATCAGAGGGCCCTGCGGTCGGGTCTGACCTTGGAGGTTCCAGGGGACAGACATAGACATACAGGGCACATGATTTGGGCAGTGACTCTCATATTACCCAGTGATGCTGAGTCTGATCTTCCTTGAAATTAAACAGTACAGGCATTCTTAGCATGCTGTGCCCCTTGGTCCATCAGAAACTTAGAGATGACCATCGCCTCCTGTCTCTTACATCTTGACTACATGGGACTCTAAAGTGAGTTAAATAATATAATTAAAGTGTATTCTAATCTCTAGACTTGTTGGGCCGCATTCTTTGCATTCCATAATTATTTTCAGGTGCTTTTCCAACCTTTCAATTTCTCTCCCTTCCAAAATTAGGATGCACGTGTCCCTGTAGCCTGACAAAGCTCTTACTGCCTTTCTGACAGTCAAGTCATTTCTTACATGCCTGTCCTTTACTCACTCTTTCCAGAATTAATTAAATGTTTAAGAAGTGTGTGTGAAATAGCTTAGCGGGCATAGGCACTTGAAATACAAGCCTGATACCTAGTTCATGTCCCACCTTAAAAAGCTAGAGGGAGAGACTATCAAAGCTGTTTACCTCCAAATAGGGGCTGTGGCACGAACCTCTGGCACAATGAATGAATGAATGAATGAGCAAATTTAAAAGGATTGGATCAAATGCCCCCTGGCAGTGGCAGAAATTTAAAAGTTCTGACACAGTTATGTGACTTTGAAGCTTTAGCTCTACAGAGCACAAGACTCTAATTTTGTTTCAGATAAACTTGAACCAAAGTGCCTTAGTTCTGACCATGAGATGTTCCCAGGGTTAAGTTCTGCAGGAATGTGGAAAGCAAAGCTATTCCTCACGCCTTGCCTTCTCTAAACCCACTCTTCCTGTATTTCAACACCTTGCTTAGCCCTTCTCCAACCAAGACACCGGGTCCTATAAATTAACAATGCAAATTCCAAGCTTGAAAGGTCATTCTTCAGAAGTGCTGTGTCCCCAAAGTCCTCTGGTACCAGTATCCAAACCTATGCCTGCTGCCTCCCACTCCCTTGGGGAGTCACTTACTGCCCTTAGTTTGATTTTTTTTTTTTCTTAAATCTGGCCCCTCATTATCCAGGATGCTGAAATAATTGGTTTTGGAAAAAAAAATCACTTCGTAAAGGTAAACCAGTCTTTTGTGTGTGGAGTACACAGGCAGCTCTGTGTCATTCTGAAGAATACATAATAGAGTAACTTTCATCCAGCAAACCAGTGGAGTCCCAATTCATCAGTCAAAGTTTTATGCAAGTGGCCCCCCTAAGTTGATAAATTCCCACAGTGCCTGTTGACCCAGCTGCCAAGCCCTCTTGCAGCAGGTGGTGTTTTCATGGCCACCCTGACAGTAACACAAACTGTTTAGCGGCTCCATTGACCTTGTAGCTATTAACAGGAATACAGGCTCCACAAGGGACTAGCTCTCCAACAGGACAGAATTTCTTAACACTAGGGGTCATGAACAAATATATGCCCTATAAAAATCCATCCAGCGTAGTCAATTTGAACTCTAAAAGACAGGGA